AAAAATGTTTACAAATTGCTACAAAGGACATTTTACCCGGTGACAATTTAAATGTGGTATTAATTCGGTAAATTTTGATCTCAGTCAAAAAAATTAGTTTTAAAAAAGTTTTATTAAGTGTTGTTTTTATTAAAAATATTACTACTCGTCGACAAATGTAATAAAATAATATTGAAAAAGTATTTATCAAATTAAAAAAAAATCTATATTATGATAACCGTTTGAATAAAAATAACCAATTAAATTTAATGATATCAGACTATGAACGAACAGCAAATAGGAAAAACCACAATAAACTAATAATTGCAATGTTTATAGCAAAATATTCATGTATTCTTAATAGTTTTTTAAACAGCGATAAAACGTATTCTGAAATGTTCAGCAAAAGTACGAAGAAAATTGTTTAATTAGTACTACTAATTCTAATATTAAATATACGCCAAAAATTATTATGCGTAAAAAATCCTATCATAAGGAATTTCAATTAAAAAAGTTTAACTCAATAGAAAAAAAGTAAATTGATTTTTGCAAAATTTTTATTTATCATAAATTTTTTTTGAAAATTGCAGTTATATTTTGTCCATTAAAAATAATATTTCTTAAATATTAAATTAAAGAAGAACTGCAATCAAATAGATTGTATTTTAAAAATAATTAGTTAAACATTTTCGGTTTTTAAAGAGTGTGATGCAATTTGTTTTAAACGGATTTAACATCAATGAAACAGTTTTAATTTTTATTAATAAAAATTAACGATGAATAAATAAACAAATGTGTCGCACGTAAAATGTTACCAAAATTTAATTTTTAGAAAAGTATAATTTAAAGTATATATAAAGAACGCTATATTCTTAAACATCTAAATGTCGGTTTTGTGGTTTTGTGGTAAAATACTGCACAACATTAACCACGCTCATACATATACCCTTTCAAAAACTATGTGTTAGGTTAACCCAAATTTATAATCTCTAACCCGTCTAGTTCTAACTACTAACAAAATAACATAAAACTAATACAAAATTAGTTGTTCTGACTAAAAATAAATAAATTATTTTATCACTTAAATGACTGATTTTTTTTGAATATTTGTTCGTAAAAAGATTCAATAAACGATAGTAAATAAAAGTAATAATGATTTTATTTTAGTATACAATATTTTTTTCCATTATGAATTTTTTTTTTTTCATTTATATATTTTTAAACGTTTTAATTTCATGCTATAAACAATACTAACCCTATGTCAGTCAATATAACAGGTTGTTTTAATACATTTCAAATAAATTAATGTTTTAAGTGTTTGACTATACAATAATAAAAAAAAATACAGAGGATGATTCTTTTATATAAACCACTAGAGTTTTCTTAAAATAATAATTATGTTAAGAAAATTATTTTTGGTAATTTTTACCATCATGTATTTCTTATAATTAAGAAATATATAAAATTAAAAAAATTTTCTTAACGTAATTATTATTTTAAGAGAAATCGATTATCTAATACTAAAAAAATCATCGTGTATGTATGTAATTTAAGGGGTCAAAAATGCAGCTTTGGTGGACCTTTTTAAAAGTAAACCCTTAAGCCTATTAAAAAGAAAAAACAGTGAGAGGGCAAAGCTTTTGTTTGAGGTCAACAAGTGACGCAGACCAACACTCGTAAATAGACAAAAGAATGAAGTTCTTTGTTTTGATATCAAATTTCATTATATTACATAAATATATCAATTTACTTAAAAAAAAACTTCGGAAAAATTTGAAGGCCAATAAACTAAGTTTAGTTTATCCAAATGATTTTTATTATAAAAATAAAATTTGTTTCTAAACTAGTATTGAGGCATACAACAAGAGAGCGTAAGGGGACTCAATTCCCTTTCTTTTACATAGTCAACTAGCGTTTCCTAACATGAGACACTCAAAATGAAATAGGGATAATAGTCATTTCTGCGTTTTCTTAATCACTTTGAGCTCTGGTTAATATTACAATATTCTACTTTAATGAATATATGTTAATGTATGTTCGAGTTTCGAACCAGAGACAATGCGCATCAAACACTGCCGCGTTACCGACTCGGCCATACCGCCCTACTTTATTATTTACACTATACAAATTGACTTATAGATTTAACTTAAAGCCATCAATACCCGTAAAAAAAAGTTACGATAATACGATGTAATTTAATAAGGTAAAAATTAATTGCGTCAATTTTGGACGTATACCTTATATATTATTTCTCTTAATATTTAAATAAATGGTTAATAGATAAATTTCTTAAGTGCACTGTTAAAAATTTTTCAGAAACTTTACTTAAATTTAAAGACATTAGAATTATTAAAAACATTTTAAAACTAAAAAAATCTTAATATAGCACTTTTTTTATTTCATAAATATTTATGATTAAAAAAATGTCTGGACTAAAATATTTAATCTATTGCTCTTTATACTAAGATGGCACTAATACACTTGTTCACTTAACCGTTAATATTATTTTTTTAAAGCTATTTCCCCTCTATTGAATATTAGAAGAAAGTTGAAAAGCACATAAAATAGCTTTTTATAAATTTTAGAAAATTTGATGATCAAAACATTATTTTGTCAAGCTATACTTAAAAAAGTATTTCGCTGAATCGTTATAAGACTTTTTAGTTCTCCAATAATAATGTTTTATTATGAAAAACGATCGACACGTGACGCTGATTTTTCTGTCTATCCAAAAAACTTCTTAATACATTTTCCAAAGAGTCGAATTGTCATTTTCTAGAGTAGTGTTAAGTATTTTTATTCATGTCAAAAGTGTTAGGCGATGTCATCTGTCATTTTCGGTTTACACAAATTATTCGATCTCGTGAACAATCGTGGATGACAATTTATTTCAACATACGTAAAATGTTAACACGTGTTATGTTATTGAAAAGCAAAGAAATGTTTGTATTTTGAAAATTTAATGAAATAAACCAATAAAGTTCAAATAAGCTTGAATTTCAAAATATGAATTTAGCATTGAAGGTGCTATAAATAATTCATAAGGGCCGAAATCATTTTTATAAAATAACCTCGCAGCTCGATTACGGCGGAATAAATATATCGCAGGAAAATATTTATTTCATTTTTATTGAGAACATAATAGATCATTTATCGTGGGATAAAATAATGAAAATCATTACAAAGACTTGAAAAATAAATTATTTAATAAACATTAACTCAGGCAATAAATCTGTTAAATATCTTTCTTTTCTCAGTTTTAAGTAACATGAATGTTAATTATATTTATAATAAAATTACATTTTTTATTTAGTTAAGTGTTTCGTCAATTCATATATTGGCGTCTATTTCATATCATATTGGAGGAAATTCTAAATATCATCATACGGAAATCATCATTTATCATTTTCACGTCTATTTAAATTTAAACCATTTAAGAGTGATTTGTTTTAGTGGTGTAATTAGGGTTTCGCTTGGGAGGGGTTATAAGAAAAATTTTCAGTCGCCCCTCCAAACGAAAGAAAATTGTACTTTCGTCATATAATTATTTTTGACGTCGTTATCATACCCCTACACCCCCCTCCAAACTATATTGATTTGTTTCATCTAAGAAAATCGATATCAATCATCATATTTTAAGTTACTTTAAAACATTTTCGTTATCTCAATAAAGTGTGAGGCACCATATTTAAAATTGAGAACTCTATAAAATTAAAATAATCAAGAATAAACAACATTTTGCATTTATGGTACACCAACAATGTTTTGTAGTTATCCAAAAATGATAAATGATTTTAATCGAAAATGGCTATCAAACATCAACCTATGGTCATTGACCTTTTGTCAACATATATATTTATAAATATATATGTGTGTGTGTGTTCATGGTGAGAAACCGCAGAATTCAAATGAATAACTCAAGTTCTATAATCATTTGTAAAGATGTCGCGTGTGTACAGATCAAATTGTAACTACAAACTTTTACAATATCCACTCGACGCACTAGCAATATGTTCGAGACCCAATAACTATTTGAACAGTAAATTGTTAGGAAATACAAATAAAATACGTATTCTTTTAGAAGTGGTCAGGTGAGATTAGAGAATTATACCCGCAGTTTACCCCAGGGACATTCTTAACAAAATTTCACAATTATATGAAAATGAAGTCTGAAGAATGAAGGAAATGAAAATTGAAGTTGTTTTTTGATGATTTCGTGTATCTTACTCCAAATTAATACTGAAAAATGTATTAAGAAAATATATTAAGTATAATTTTCTTAAATTTGTAGCAATTCATTTTCTGAATATTTAATCTCTTTGCTCTTTAAATAATAATAATAAATGTATTATTTAACATCCAAAACAATGATAATTTTGATAGACGGTGTAGGAATATTATGAAATCGGACAAGTAAAATTAACAATGGAAACTATCATTCGACTGGTTGAATGTAATGACATATAGCTAATATTACTTATTTATATAAAGACACTTTTTTGATAATTTACCGAAAACTTTATTTGTTATCGGTCTATTTTTAACAAAATGTATAAAAACCGGTCTACTTCAAGTTTTAAATTTTACGATTTTTTTAGTGAATAAATAATTAGCTCATTCAGTATAGCTGTATGCGTTATAACCTGTTGTAATATACTATTATTACTATTGATGAATATGCGTTGTATATTTATCAAACATGATGATTAATACTACTGTGGTCATTCCCGAACTAATTAGTATGTACATTGATTATGGAAACCACGTTGTTGATAAATGATTCGTAACGACGTAAAATCCCACAATTACTTTGAACTGTGATATTTTTCTCAAGATTTTATCTTTTTTTTATTAACCCCTCTTTTAATCTAGTTATTAATTTTTACCAGTATATGCGATTGTTTGGTTGAGTAGTAGGTACATATGTTAAAATGATACATGGTACAAATAATAATATTATTGATGTATGTGTTTTTGCTGTGCGAAAATGAACAAAAACGTGTGAAGTTTTAGAGGGGAACGTCAAAGGGATCTAGAGTCTACTGGGGTGGGGGATTGTTATATATTGCGCTTTTATTATATTCAACAGATCAATTCAATATAAATAGTCAATTTTACTGTTCAATCATAATCGCCCAACGTTTATATTGAGCGATACATTGTGTGAGTTTCTCGGATCAAAAAAGAATATCAAAATGGTCAACGTTTCTATGCGTACTGTAAGTTTTTAAACTATTTTCTCTACTCTTAAGACAATTACTTAAAAAATATATTGATTATAAAAAAATTATAAAGCTAAAAGTTTTAATTAACGTTATGATATCGATAAATTATCTCAAAAATTTCAGTTTAACGTGCTTTTAATTTAGTTTAATTTAATTAATTTATAGAGAATATTCTTTAAAATACTATTGATTCAAAATTCATAAATATTCACTATTTTCCACAAGAAAATTTCTTGAATAATAAACAAATAGCCATTTTCAACAAAGAGGTTTGTAACTGTATATTTTTAATTTTTTTTTTGTCGTATATTATAATTTCACCATACGGATCAAAAATCATAAAAAACAAAAAATTGTATAAAGAAAATACTTGTACAAAATGTTAAATGGCTTATATTTAGTAGATTCAATTAATAATTTTATGTTTGTTTACCAATATTTATTTAATTTGTAGATATTTAAATTTTTAACATCTGTCCAAGTGTACGAGTATAATAAGCTTAAAAGTTTACTTTTTGAATGAAGTAATAATGAAATTGACATTACGTATTAGCTGAAAAATGATCCTCAGTTTAAATATCAAACTTGATACAATATATTTTCGGAATGTACTGCAAACCTAATACATCTATTCATTTTTTGAATTATTAAAATAATAATGTACTAATATAAGTGCGTTCGACTAACTTTTATACTTGACATTATTTTTACTAGATCTTATTCAATGTTAAAAATAAAAGTTTATTACAAACAATTCAAATGTTTAATAAATATTGATCTTAATTTTATTTTAATATTATAACTAACATAATAAT